ACATGGTTCGACACATCATCAAACATCCATGAAATCAACTCATCAATTCAATTTGGTTTATCCGTACAAATCTCACGTGGTAATCTGACCGAAGAAGGTTCATTAGGAACAACACGAGGATGGTCACCATTCCCAATGTGCATCAAAAAGTGGGCATACATTCATGTCCTTTCATCAATCCCTAGGCTCAAGATTCTCATATTTTCGGTCAGTTGATGAACCTCAAAATTTTTTCGCAAAGGAGACATTTTCATGGACGCATCAATTTTTTGCGCTCGCAATCCGTGTTTCACAACAGCCAAAACTTGTCTAAAATTCTCATCTAGAAGTAGAACTTTCCCACCAAACGTCTCAGCATTGTTACAGAGGTCCCGAAGCGTAATGTCAAGAGCTTCTAAGTGAAATTTGTTACTCATCGGAGCCTTGTCCCAAACAATCAAGTCGACACGACAGATAAGCTCCGCAAGATCACTTTGTTTCGGAATCAAGAAGGGACGTGTGTTATCAAGTTTCAAAGGTGCACGAAATCATGAGTGAAACGTTCAAACGTTCGACCCCCCGTCAAAAGAGTCGCCGCTATATCACTGGATGTCACGACCAGTGCAATGACATAACTCGACCTGATGCCCGCTAAATCGTATCAATGTCAAAAAAAATTCATGTTCCAGTCGGTGCATCGACAAAATCACGCAACGTTTTTTTCTCTTGCACAGCCCGAACGACTTTTTCCACCAACACTAGTTGACGTGGACGAAGACGTCGAAAATTGAAGTTATATTTGCGTTGAATTTGAATCGGATCATACGACAACTCGTCGGTTAGAATCGAGGATACAGTTCTGTTCTCGTAATGTCTGGTTATGTTCTCAACAATCGTTTCCCAGTCGGGTGTTGGATAATAAAGGCAGAACTGACGGATGTTTTTTCCAGACTCTTGAAAAATACAGTCAAGATGGAATAACACTAAGGATTGAAAAATGTTCGGCGGAACAATTTCATTGTTTGCGCGATACTGAAAATCGTCATACATCTTATCCCAGTATCGTTCGAAGAAACGACCTGGTGTCGGGCGGCCGAAGGTCAGTCGGCCACCCGAATATTTACGAATTGGCCGTTGAATTGATTGCTTAAAGAGGGATTGACCGAGGCTTTCGTCCGAGCTGATGGAAAATTAGGGGTACCCAGAGCCCCCCTTTAAAATTGGATGTGACGACCACTGAGACTAGCCCTCAAAATTGGCGAGAGGGGCCACATTTTCTGCCGCGCAGACGTCTACCTTATTTCCGCCGCTCCGAGCCTATTTCCGGAACGGCTAGCCGTGGAAACAGTAATATGAGAGTAGGCCTTGACGTGACCCTTTTACAATGCACAATTGGTGCGGGAATGGAGCCTCGGATATCATTAATTTTAAAATTGAAATTAAAAATAGAAAAAACTTCAAAAAAAAATTAAAAACAGTAGAAGGGAGGAGAAAAACGGGATATTCTTTATTTTATTAAAGTTTTTTGGTATTTGATTTTAATGGAATCGCCCTTATTATTTGTTATTTCAGGTAATAAAATCAGAAATGGAAAAAAAAGAATCAAAACTATAAAAGAAAAAAAAAACATGGGAGTCTTCATTATTTAATTGAATTCTATCGGAATTCATTTTTTATCTAGGTTACCAATGGTTAGAGACCGGACGTCTCCACCGGAGGTCTCCCCCGGACGTCTCTACGAAGCCTTTTGAGCACAAAAATAAAATAAAATAAAATAAATTATGACAGTGTTGCGCATGGCCTAGAGACCCCCCACAAAAAAATTCAGATTTTTCTGAGCATTTGCTGATACGGTGGTATTTGGGGGGGGAGGGGGGGGTAGAAGGGGGTTTTGTGGGGATAGGAGGGGTATAGATGGGGAATGAATCTTTAAAAATTTGTATTTTTTATTCTACTGACCCAAATGATCCAAAAATTTGGTGGCATCACCTAATGCAAGGTGGAAGCCACATAG